ATCGGTTGCCATGAGAATTATCTCCGATACGCGAGCTGGGCGGATGAACCGATCAGTAACACAGTTGAACTTGATAGCACTACAATGCCTTGTAATCATTCAGTATCGCACGAGAAGGTAAACTGTCTCAAGATCCCTTTTAATGTCGGATGCCTTTGAGGCAAACCTCGTTGACAGTTTGGACCAATGGGATTTTAAAGAGCGAGAGGGTTGTTTACTTCCGGTCTCACAAGTCGACGAATAGGATTTCAAAGAGTATAAAGTTCGTCGACGTGTATGGCGAACCGTTCGTTTCAAATTTAATTTTATAGGTTGATAAAGATTTTTTTTAGATGAGAAAAATCCTTTTTGTGAGTGCGCTTTGACTTCCCAAGGGATCCTAAATTCTTTAACAACACTACTGTGGTTTTTTGGTAGACTAAACTCGTCTGTTTACCCTATAATGGTCAAGGTCCTCCTAAAAAGAAAAATGTTAGAAGCTCTTAAATTTTTCAGACTAATGATCCTTGAGTAATCAACCGGTTCCCACAAAGCTTTATACCAAATTTTCTCTTCCCAGATCGCAACTCCAAAAGGAAATGATAACGATTTGGAGAATATTGATGAACTGAATATTAGTGGAATGGCTTCCACAGCTCTCGAATCAACCCATTCAAATACAGAAGAACCTGGGAAGGAAACTTTTGTCATTCAGACTGACCAATTGGAAGTGGCATCCACAAATTCATCATGGGATGAGCAGAGGAATCCAAAGATCCCAGTCAAAGGAGCGTCTCTAAAGCATGGTCAGAAAAAATGGGCTGCATTAAAGAAGAAAAGGAAATCATTTGCATTTAGAAGGATGGAGAGTGGACTGACTAACGGAACGTGGAAATCGCTCACCTTGGGAAAAAAGACAGCTGAAGTTGCAGGCCATAGCTGCAGTGAAGGTATCGAGACGTTATATTCAGCAGTATGTCAAAAGTTTCCAACCATTCTGTGATTTCACTCCGTTTGGTAAACTTGCGTTATCCTCTCAAACCATAACATTCCGCACTAAAATCAATACTGACTCAGTTTAGTTATCCATGTCCTCCCGCGCTGGAGGACGTTGGCCTACAAGTGTAATGTTGCTTTGAACTTCACTATCAAATCATTTCATTCCTTGGCCTTAAAATCTCTTTGCACTTTTAGAGGGATGTAGTCTCGAAAACTGCGAAAATCAACCTCAGAAAGTTCGCAGGCAGGCAGCAGGTGGAGAAAGACTGACACCTTTAAAAGAATTTATTTCTCTAAAAGGTAACGATCCATTGTTCAAACCTACTCTTTATATAAGTCCTTTAACTCGAGGTCTCTACCTCCAGGAAAAGAAACCTGTCTGAGGAGCTGTAAAAGTGTGCGTTTCAGAAAAGATTTCCAGCATGCTAGCGGTAGAACTCCAACCCCTTTCCATCTCCTCCGCCAAACCGGTTTACCGTTAACCGTATACGTAAGCCGGCCAAAAATTTAGCCTTTAGCCGTAAGAATTAACCAATTTTAACCGTTACTCGTCAAAAAAGTTGACCATGAAAATAATTCCTGGTGACAACAAGGGAAAGATTCTAACCGATAGCCGCAAAATGGCCAAAATTTTAACCGTTAGCCGTAAAAGCCATGACCCCATTGGGACCCTCCAATTGGTTTATTTTATGTTTTAAGTGACTTGAAATACGAAATCTATGCTTTGTCCAGTTTATACATCCAAAATTTCTTGTATCAGACTCAAAAACTAGAGATGGAGAGGACATTATTGTTGTGAACCCCTCGAAGATTCCCAGTAAACGAGATTTCACAGGAAGGAAGGAGTACAACGAAATAATGGCTCGTTTGTTATTGTAAGTTTTTTTTTTTCATTTCCTCATTTATTTTGTTGTAGTTTTTTTCAGGAGCATTTCCAACTTATAACTCAAGCGTATCTAGATCTGGAGTATCTGTGTGATTGGCTGGCTTGGTTTTATCCTTTTTTTATCCTTTTTTTACGCCGANTTTTTTTCAGGTCTGATTTTCGCTATTGCTTAAATAGCTCTATCTACTGCGAGGATCGTGCATCATATGTACTCTCTCCTTGTGATATGTTTTGCAGATATCAAAACAGACTCGCCTGCTGTGTTTTCTTCAAACCATCTTTTAAACTGAGGGCTTTGGTAATACTTTCACGACCATTTGTTGCGTGAGTATTCTATCACACACAGAGACTGTCAGATAAGAGCACGCATTAGTACGCAACTTGATACTCTCGGGGCATTTCATTCACGGCCTCCTGAATCTAAATATAACAGAAACTTACGCCATTTAGTGACCACATGCATTTCACCCGACTTACCGACAGACCGATCGAACGAAGGAGGTCCATCAGACAAGCTGACCACTAGTGGGACCCTAGTCTAGTAGATGGGGTGTACGGTATGTCTAACCCACCGATCGAGTGTCTGATGGACCGACCAACTGAAAGACATTGCTGGACCAACTGACTGATCAACTCAAACCAAACAACGAACTGTATCACCTCACGTACGAAGATATCACAAATTCACAAATGAAAAAAAGTTTGAACGATGGAATATCTTTGATTTTTTTGTCACAGAAACGACATGAGGGAAAAGATTTTCATTGTGAAGAGGAAGCGAAAATTTTCTAAAGCTTAAGGTAAGGATGCATGTAGATTTGACAACACTCAGTGTCCTCATTAGAGTGACAGTGTTGAAGGCCTTTTTTCTGAGCGCTGGTCAAATCTACTTCTCGCAGTTTTGAACGACAGTTATTACTGATAAAAATTAAGATGTGAAATTATCTTTTTTAGGTCTATCAGAGAGTGATGCAACGAACAGACCGAATGAACAAGTCTAACTTTTTTCCCTTTACTCCAGTGTTGTTTTGAGTAAGAATTACTGAAGAATTACTTGAAAGAACATTATAATTGAATACTGCAACATGAATTGATACTCGCTCTCCTTTGACATCGTTTAAAAACACCAAATAAATAAATAAATACTTTGTCTCATTCTACTCTGCACCATAATTCAACGTGTCCAAGTTCTTCCTGTTTCCCTTGTCTACCGGCGTCCGTTTCTAAACCTTCCTTTTTCTCTATTTTTGTTTTTCTTTCAATTTCTCTCAAGAAAAAGATGCCACTTTGTTCTGTGACCGCTAAAATGTAAATTTCTTTCGTGATTTTTAACTCAACAGATGCACGGCAAATAGAACCTTATTGCTTCACAGAATGACTAGAAAAATAAAAATGGGAAAATGGCATTCTAAGAAATTTGCTTTGTAGAGCTCAACTGTTGAAAGATCTGTTTCGGTGTCGGTATTAATTAGGGACTTTAAGCAGTCAGGACGGCAACGCCAAGGACCGGACGTCGATTAAAAAATGAGTTTCTACTTTTAGTTAGAATTTCGAAAATGGCTGCATGTGTTTACCGTCACATAGGGCGCCAGACCTCCAACTCAACATAACACATAAAAGTAGAGTTCCAAATGTACATTAAAATAATTTGCCGCCGCGGTTTCGCTTCGCAGAAGACGCAAATTTTGGTGATTACACGTTGTTGTTTTGCAAAGGACGGCTAAGAAATGTACAAAGTTTTAAAACGCACGTGCTGGGCTATTGTTCTGCCAATTAGATCTATCGTTTTCCCACGTTCTCGTTGCCGCCGCCGTCGTGGTTTGCTTAAAGTTTCCAAGCACGCGTTCCTTCTCTTCCTTTTGCTGCTTGTTTAACATTTTCAAAGGCCGTGACTTGCAGAATCAGCATCCAGGATTATCTCAGACTTTCGGAACTGTACGCTAGGCAACAGGATCTGCCACTTGATCATAACATGCATTACATCCATCTCGCAGATGAATGAGTTACTTTCGAAGTTCGTCATCTTAATTCTGACCATCAGTTTTCAATCCAGTGGGAAAAATCTTAATCGTCAAGATTCTCGATCGAGTTTCGCAAACTTTGTTGAAAAGCCTTTCTCAAAGCTGACGTCTCCGATCTTGGCTTCGTTGAAGTCGTCAACTCTCGGTGAATGTGTTTTTGAATGTCTGGCTAACAAGCAATGCTTCTCCATAAACTTCGCGACAGATTCGGGAGCTAATGACATGTACGAGTGTGAGTTATTGAATGCTGATATTTTTAACCAAGCGGATAAGTTTGCTGTCAGCGGAGAGTTTCATTACTACCATAACAAGGTTGGTTCAAACTTAACGTTCATATAGAAACTGCTATGCTGTAAATTTGAAGAACGTAGCTCTCGATCGCAACCTTGCTACCCAAGCTGCTAAGGCTTAAATTCTATAAATAGAAATAAAGATATTCCACTGGTGTTATGTTGAATTTAGCACTGTTCTGACAGACCGAATATCTCTCCATTTAATTTCATTTTGAATCAGTCACAATGTTTGAAGAAAAACAAAAATGACGTCTCGAAATAAAATTCCTCAATTAAACCAAACATCAACACAGTTCTTGGCTTTTTAAATTCAGACACTGAGACTCCAGCAGAGAGAAATTCACAAATTATTCGCAAGTACACTTTTTTTGGAACGGAAACATACGGCTTGCATCGATGAAAAATTCAGTAATTTTTTGTTTTTCATTCGAGCCTACTCATTAACCAAACGTATTATTCAACAAGAATTGAGACCAAGAAAATAAAACCTGATATTCTCTTGATAAAACCTATTACTAAGTGAAGTCACGATAAGAAACAAACTCAAAACAAACTCAAGTAGATACAAATAAACACGGTGTTCTCTTTGCACTGATCCATTTTCCCGATGGCTCACCGATCGATTTAGGTTTTTAATCAATTTGTAATCACACGTTTTCAAATACAATTTGCAGTTTTGAAAAATTATATAAGTCAGTGATATTTGTCACAAAGGTGCAGAAAATTGATAA